CTGCATTTTTGAGCCAATAAATTCAGCCTTGGTGAGCATAGGAGACTTCTCGTGAAAAATATTGACAACCCCACATCTTTGAATGGTAGTATATATATATATATTGCTGCATGATTTAAGTTACCTTTTTGTGAGATGTTTAGCTTGAAAAGTTAGCTTTTTATTAGAAAAACATTCCTCGCCAGTCCAAAATAAAGTCCTCACCAGTCAAGAGACTCCCAAATAATGTCCCGCTGTCATGTTTAATGGATCTTTAGAGACACGCTAAATTGAAGTGAATGAATTACCCTGTGAAACCAGATTTAGTGGTTTGTACTCACTAACTTCAGTTTCACAATCTGTTTTCTGCATGAAGAACAATCTTGATTAGATGTTGAAACTCAAGCTTGGAAACGTGTAAAACATCTCATGGTTTGAATTATCACTGTGCTCCAAGAATCCATTGTCCCAGCTTTGAGTTCTTGCCTTTTATTGAAGAATGGAATCCATTTCAGATATGTGATTGTTTTCCTGAAGAGAGAAGAGACAATAAATCATTTTTAAGAGACTGTTAACTTGAACACTCATATGGTACGATGTGTGAGCGTTTGATGATTTATAAACTGATATGTCAAGTTGTTTTTAAGAATATATTCCCTACTCTCATGGTCTCTGGTCTTCTGACCTTACAATACCATTTCCATTTCTCATATAAATGTCTTCCCACCTCTATCCATACATCTCTTACCATGTCTTCGTCACACTCCTCGTGTGAGTGCTCCTCTCCGTCCTCCACATCACTGTGCTGCAGTTCCTCTGACTCTGAGCCCGACTCGTCCTGAGACAGCTCGCTCTTCATTTCCTCTGCCTTCTGCAACTCTGCACACAGACAAATGTTTATGTACATTTACATACACTACATTAACGGTTATTCCATATATGTAGTAAAGTTTCACAAAATAAAACAGAGCAAATGAAATATTAATAAAAACATTATTCTTCCGCCAAACAATGTAGTTCCTCAGAAATGGTGGTGGTTCCAACAAAGTGGTTGCCGAGCAACACACAGACGTAAACAAAGGTGTATGTTTGTAGAGCAATTTACAACAGCTTCGAACGCGGCTCAACCAATCAGAATCAAGGACCGGAACTATCCGTTTTATAAAAACAATTAAGCTATATGGGAAGTGTGTTGCTGTAACTTGTCATCAGACTTTTTAATCCTGTAATGCCTGATACATAAAATAATAGTCTGAAAATTGTCTGTCCATTTCTAATTATTCTTCTGACATTTGATTATTCTAGTTAACTCTTTACTCTATATTTTACTTGTTCATTAGGAATCTATGTCGCTCAGAGTGTGTTGTGTCGGCCGATTAACACGGACCTCATGCTCACAAACTCTCCGTCTGATCATTAGTCACTACTATTTAATAGACCGTCTCATGCTTGTCATTCTTTAAATAGTGGTTCTGTTTAGTCCCCTACTGTACAGTCACCTATGTAACAACTTAGTTAAAGCTCAATGGCTAGTACTATGAAATAGGCCAATCAATGCTTGCTAATACTTCAATAGCATTTTTATCTAGCCCCCTATAGTTAATATAACTACTGCATATAACAACTTAAACAAAGCTGAGACGACAGCCAGAGGTTATGGCTAGTACTATGAAGTATGCTGAGCCATGCTTACTAGTACCCCAATAGCATTTTGTCATAGTTAAAGGATTAGTTCACTTCCAGAAAAAAAATCCTAATAATTTACTTACGTCATCCAAGATGTTCAAGACTTTCTGTCTTTAGTTGCAAAGAAATTACGTTTTTTGAGGAGAACAGCTCTACCCGATCCCAGCCGAGGAATAAGGGTCTTATCTAGAGAAACGATTGGTCATTTTCTAAAAAAAATTAAATAAAAATGTATATGCTTTTTGTCCACAAATGCTCATCTTGCACTAGATCTGCGATGCATGTCCGTGGCCTCACGCATTACGTAATCATGTTGGAAAGGCCACGCGTGGTTTGTTCTTCTTCGTTTGTGTACTCCAGTTCAAAAAGTTACGGTAGGGCGAAAAACTCATCTTCTCATTTTCTTCTCCAACTTCAAAATCATTCAACATCACTGTTTTTCCTTTTTTTTTTGGAAAGGGCGTTTGACTTTCTTTGCACGTTTGCTTTGTTAAAAAGTACAGAACTTTTAATTTTTTTTAGAAAATGACAGAGAAAAGACCCTCATTCCTCGGCTGGGATCGTGTAGAGCCCTTTGAAGCTGCATTGAAAATGCAATTTGGACCTTCAACCCGTTGGCCACTATTGAAGTATATGGAGAAAAATTATAGGTGAGTAAATTATCAGGAAATCTTTATTCTGGAAGGGAAGTGAACTAATACTTGATATGCCCCATGCTTCATCTAACCTGAGATCTAGTATGTACTTGTCTTAACCCTGGATGCAGATTTGTGGAAACTAATTAATCAACTTGAGAAAACAATTTCAGAGTAAAGGTCATTGCACACCGAGTCCGAAAATTTCGTCCGAAATTTTCGCACGTTAAAAAATAAATACGACCTCACGTTATGTCAAACATGTTTACACACTGCCTCCGAAATTTTTGTCTGTCATAAAAAAAAAATTCGGATCGGGTTCGATTTTGAAAATTTTTCGCATCAGTAGCAAGCATTTTGAGAGGTGTTTTGACAGTTCAGAACCACCGTACAAACGAACAGAATGGCGATTGTCAAGTTCATCCACTTCGTCTAGCAGCACAAAGCACTGTAAAGATCCTTGCACATTGAGTTCACAGAAATTCTTTTTAATATGTGGCTCTAGTATCGCTAGCAAAGCATCAAACTGAGCCACTGACATCCTGAAGTAAACTTTGAATCGCCCGTGATAATCCCGCTGCTCCTGAGGGGGAACTCTCCTTCCTCTCTATCTCTCAGGATTGGATGGACCCAGTATTTCCTCTCTTTTTCTCTTTTTAAGAAGCGAGAAGACAACAAAATCATCCTCACTGCTTGAAGACTCCATTTAGTGCTGTTTTGCTAATTTTTTCGCAACGGATTAATTAATACACATCGGACTCAGTGTGCAAGGTTTCTGTGCATGACGAATTTATAGAATAACGAATATACGAAAAAACGCACACGAAAATTTCGGACTCAGTGTGCAGAGACCTTAAGAGTGAATAATATCAAATGAGAATTTATTATTAGTCAGGTAAAATGCATTATACCAATTACGTAGTCAATTCAGAGATAATCAAAACAAGACATCAAATTCTCAAGGATAAATGTAAGAGTAAAGAATGCATACCTGACTTCAGAAAAACACATAGTATGGAGTGTGTGGACTTATCTGGCTATAGAAGCGCCCTGAGCTTCTTGCATCATTTCCTCACTCAGACCCTAACCCCAAACATCCTCCAAATGGCAACAGGAACTAACAATTAGAATTTGCATTGATCAGGCCTTGGAGAGATTATACCATTTGGGGACAGATGGTAATTTGCATGAAAGACACTGGGGAAGAGCACACCCTCTACAGCGAGCAAAATCTCTCTAAACTCTTAGGATCTTTATTACTTTTAGTCTACTTCTTGTAAAACCGAGACCATTGAACCAGTCGCATGGAGATATTTCAAATGGTTGTGAATATCGCTTACATTCATGTAGAACATTATATTATGCTGTTGACCATTCTGAGTGAGCTGAGTGAAGGGAAGGATGGGTGAGGGAAAGATAGCTGAGAAAGGAGCTTTCCCGCATCTTCTCTCAGTGAGATAATACACTGTTTTTGTATTGTCTGTATCTAAAGGAAATCAAAGTGTCTGAGGTTCTTCAATTATATATCTTAGGAACATGATATTTAAATGCTTAGGTATATGATCAAAGCTATTTTTATTGTGGGGAGCAAAACATATAATGACATATATACTTGACTTGATACAATTTACCATGATTTTTTATTGATAAGCAAGAAAACACTTCAGTTCAGTAAATATTAATCTTGAAATACTGCTAACAAGGTGGACATTTTTACAATTACAGACTAATGCTTATGCTAAAAATTATTGTTTTAAATAAAACAAAGATGATTAATTATTACAAGAAAAAATGCGTTAGGGATTTTCTGTTCTCTCCAGCATTGGCGAACCACGGTCCAAATTGAATTCTCACATCCTAAACAACTAAGACACCTCTGTAGGAACACGTTTCAAGAGCAGACACGTGAAAAAACATTGCCAAGGTAAAGAAAAACTTGGAGCTCACTTTTATTTAAGCATCAGCCCAGTTGAAAAGTTACGAGATGAGTAAGTGCTAGTCGACTTTCCTCCCTCACGAGGGCTTTTAAAGCATCTCATCCTCAACAGTCAGCAACACTTGCAAACATGCACAGAAATGTGCTTCGCTCTGGGGGGACATCATCATTGATTAGCCACAAACCATTAGCCACATCATAACAATTCTTAGACAGACGATGAAGGAGAATGAAGCGGGTTTCCGTGTCTAAATAAACACGGGAGGCATGTTGCGTTCTGTGGTAATGCTTGTCAAATTGACCGCTGATGTGAAACACTGGGACAAATCTGCAAATCTGGATTGGAGCCACTGAGCCGTAAAAGTGTTGAACCGTGAATGGCTTGTGTGACAGCGGTGGTGCTGCGCTGAGTCAGCGCTTTGTGCGGAGAGTAAACTGCTTGCTGCGGTTTCCATATGATTAAAAAAGTCCTTTGAAAGCTTTTCTCAAAAAATAATTACTGAGAGGAAGGTATAACAAGCATACTTTGATGAAATCATTTCTAATAGAATACAACCTTGATTTATCACCAAACAACCAGGCTTGTATAGTACAGAATAATACAGTATTGTGTGCATACCGTATATATATGAATTAATGTTCAAATGTTTGGAGTCAGTTTATTCAGCAAGGATGCATTCAGTTTATTAAAAGTGACAAAAACTTTTACATTGTTACAAAAGATTTCTATTAAAGTAAATGCTGTTCTTTTGCATCCTGAATCCTGAAACAAATGTATCATGGTTTCAACAAAAATATTAAGCAGCACAACTAAAATATAAAACAATATTATATAAAAGTATAAAATATTTTAGTAATTAACTTTAGACTTTTCTGAAACACTATTGTAATCCACTGTATATATATCAAAGTATTATGGTATTATCCAGAGTTGTTATCATTTCCTAAAACGAAAGATAAAAACGATTAATATTTTTTGCTTAATATTTTTGAAACTAATACTTTTTTTTGGGATTCTTTGATGAAAAGAAAGTTTAAAAGAAAGACATTTATTTGAAATAGAAATCTTTCGTATCATTATAAATGTTGTGGGATTACAAATTTAAGAATCTGTTTAAAATATATCCCTCCCCCTTAAAATGTATATAAACTACAATGTATCACTGCCTTAGTTAGACTTTTGATGACTGCAGCGCATTCTCAAAGAACTCTGCTGAAGATACCCAAGAGTCTCCTGGTCTCTGCTTCGACGAGGAAAAAGTTTCCTACAATGTCTTAAATTTAATGCATTCTTGCTAAATAAATGCATTAACTTCATTAGCAAAAAAAAACAAAAAAAAAAAACTTACTGACCCCAAACGTTGGAACGGTATTGTATGTTTGTGTGTATGGCACATATACAGATATATGACACATAAGATCACACCTGTGGCACAGTATTTGTCCTCTGTGATCTGGTCGAGACGTCCCAGCAGCGCGTCGATGTTGGACTTGATCTGCGTCAGTTCTGATTTGATAGCCTGCAACTCGGTTGATTTCACTGCTCGCACGTACACACAAGGTTTACAAAAGAACACAAAGTTTTAGATAAATAAATCAGGTTTATATATTGCCATAAAACCAAAAACAGAAATAAAAGCAAGGCACTGGTAATTGGTTGTGGATCTATAAAGGAGCACTGCCCAAGACAAAAGGTTCCTCTGCTGCAGTATTGCAAACATCCTAAATCCTAAACCTGGCAAGTTTATCTGTCAAATGGCCCAAAGGCCGGTTCAAGAGTTCAAGCGGTCCGAAGAAGAGAAGAAGATCTTGAGATGTCACGCAAAAGAATCAGGCTACAACTCTGGACATTTCTTAAATATCTTAAAAGATCTTTTGATGTTTCAGCATTCAACATACAGTATGTGTAGGTCAGTAACACGTGAAACATCAAGAAAACTGATGCAAAATAGAAACTGAACTTACACTTGTGTTTGACAGAGCTGTTGGGAAGGATAGTGGATCTGGTCAGGAGTTTGACAGGTAATGACTTCACCCTGCGGACGACCGGCACTGCCACACGGGGGCGCTTTACTGGAACCGCTCTGGGCACCGGTGATACTCTGCCTCGGTACTCAAACAGTCTGGAGGCAGAAAGAGACGTATGAAGAAACTAACTGCTTCATGCAACCACATGACTTCGATCAGTGAGTTTATAGGTCATGCTCAGGAAACTGCAGTGTTTGTGACTTTTCATTTAATGTTATTTTTTTCCAAACCAATCCACTTAAATCAGAAATCATATTTTCCCATCTCAGGCCCAAAGTAAACACCAAAAATACTCAGGGACCACCACAGGGCTGCGTTTTAGAATCAGAAATAGCTTTATTGCCAAGTATGTTTACACGTACTAATAAAAAATAGAAAAAAAAGAGATAATAAAAATAGAATAAGTGAATAAAAAATGTACATATATAAAAATATATAAAAACACAATATACAAAATAGACATTTGCCTTATTTTAATTTCATTATAATTTAATAATTCACACACTAAATCCATACTATCTCGAATACCGCTCCGGAGCGCTATTTGAGGTTTAGTGTATCCCATCATGCATCATGTTAGGGGAATAAATCTTGAGATTTTTGCAGAGATCTCGCCAGAGGTCACAGAAACCTTTTAATGTAAGTTAAATATTAATCTAATAATTAGATAGGGCATATTATTACACATACTTTGGTAGAAAAACAAAGTGTTGCACGTTTTATTGGTGCAAAGATGAGTAGTGGTGATATTTATTTTGTACAACATTTGCAACTGCTTTTCATACTTAATTAGGAAGCACCACAAATTAAATTGTGTCATGTTATAGGGACTACTGAACAGACATTTAGAAGTTGATTTTACAATGCACAGTATTTAAAATAAAATAAAACTATGTAGACACTTGCATTTTTACAACACTGTAAATGTGTCCCATCAGGTAATGAAAAGTTCTACACACACTTGTGGTCTTCATCCTCACTTGAACACTTAGGCCAAATACAGGAAATACGTCATAGAAGTAGTCAAGTGGTCAAGTGCAAAGACCGCAAGTGTGGGTATTTGGTCAAGGGCAGAATATGTATGTACAGATATATGCAAATGCAAGGGACATGCAAATATGCAAATTCAAGTTTCTCTGCAATATTCAGATAAGCAGTCAACATATGTTAGTTTTTTTTATAATGTATTCTATGACCACCAATCCAACATATGTGAGTATGTCAGAAATATAAAACCATTATGTTAAAAAACAAATTCCAAAAATTCAGCATGTTTAAAGAATTTTAGAAAATACATAAGTATATAGGCTAATTATAATAAAATACAAATAACTGTAATACTATATAATTAATACTTCCATAATTTTACATTGTATATTTAATACTTTTTTCGAAACACTTGTTATCCATTGTTGTTATCGTTTACTAAAACTAAAGCTATAATTATTAAAAATTGTTTTCAATAATTGAGATAAATATGGAATAAAATAAAATATAAATATTAGATGAAAAACTTAAATGTAACTTATAAATGTTGTACATTTTAATTACTAAAATTACTAAAACTGAAACAAATAAAGCGTATCAGAAATATAAAAAAAAAAAAAAAAGAAATGAGAAAATGAAAACTTAAAATATGAAAATAAAAGCTAATTCAAAATCTAAATAAGTACTACAAAAGTACATAAATAACACTGGTATTATCTTCTTTTTTTGAGGTCTTTTTCTTCTTTTTGTAAGATCATTTGTTTGATAAACTCTTGGATGGATTTTGCCCATCAATTGTAGAAGTGTGTTCATGTTTTGTTGGGGAAAACAAGAGTAAAGTGCGATCTTTGAGTCATCTTACGATCAGAGCATACCTGCTTTCCATCCATCATACATCAACTCCTCACGAACAGAGCGGGAGATGTACTCCGCCGACTCAAAGGAGCTCAACCGCACCATCTCATAGCATAAACCGACAGCGTACGTCTTTGCATTGTGTCCAAATCAGCTGAAATGAGGCCAGAAGCCAACAGTTCGCAATCCAAGTCGATCCTAGAGCTCTACTGTCAGGATGAAGGAGGTGATGTGGCATGAATGAATGAAGTGAGAGAAGAAGATACTTTTGCCTTCAAAGAGAAGCACGTCTGCTGCCCAGACAGGAACCTAAAAGCAACCAGCTGGCTTCCCACATGCCATCTATGCGGCTTCACTGACTGATCCGCAATCCTAGAGATCTAAATTATTGGACATGTTTGCTGTAAAATATCGACTGCAGTCAGCATCGCCCTAAGATGGCTGTAAGTCAGGGAGCAGAGATCACAAGAGAGATATAAATAAACATGTCAGCTCATCATATGGACGCAATATCCCTTACATCTGCAAACAAGTACGTCCAGCTGAGTCTCGCAGCAGGGTTTCCATAGCTACCGAAAAGGGACGCCGGCCAACCGCATGCTCGCCGAGCCAAAGTTTGCTTAACGGGTCGTGGAGGGAGTTCTTGTGAAACGCATTTTTTTTTTCATCTGCCTTTCTTTCTGCAGCTTACAGCTGTGTGTGAGTGTTTTTATGAGAGTTCCTTTAATTCTGCCAAGTTGTGAGAAAATGTATTATGACAGGAAGAGCCGTGCTAGAGAGAGAACAGTGTGCCTGACTTAATTATAAATCACTGCTGTGTTACTGCACTAAAAAACGCTCCATATAAAGCCTTACTGCTGGGTCAGTGGATTTCAGCACGAGCAAAAAGTGCTTCTGTACTCAACCAGTATACTATAGGTATTTTTATTTCATAAATGGATTTTATTTCTTTAGTGTGACACCTAATGCATGACAACGTTTTTCAGCAAATAGTCTCTTTCCATTCATCAAAGAATCCTGAAAAAAGGTATCACATTTTTTTTTTTAAATAATTGCATTACAATTATTGTCAACATTGATAATAAGAAATGTTTCTTGAACAGCAAATCAGCATATTAAAATGATTTCTGAAGGATCGTGTGACACTGAAGACTGAAGTATTGATGCTGAAAATTCAGCTTTAACATCACAGGAATAAATTACATTTTAAAACATATTCAAATAGAAAATAGTTACTTTAAATTGTAATAATATTTCACAATAGGCCCTATTACGGTTTTTACACTGTATTTGTTCAAATAAATGCTGCCTTTCTTTCTTTCATTCAAAAACAGTAAAAAATCCCAAAGGTTTTAACAGTAGAATAAGTTCTAGATAATCATGTTCATAAATGAAGAAACAGAAGTCTGATAATATGCATATTGAATGTTAACAATGGCTTCCAGATATATAGTTAAATGGCTATAAATTAGCCATTTTATAATCAGAAATAATGGAAAATTTCCATTTATTACAGGTGGTAAAAAAAAGGTAAAAAAAAAAGGATTGTCCATCACTATCACATACCCTGCTCTGGAAGGGTGCGAACACAAACGAATGGTGATACAAACAGTGAAACACTGCTTGGCTAGTCAAATTAAAGGACAAGGACTGTATACTGGCATATTATTATACCTGGACTGTGAACTTATGCATTCTGGATGTGACTTTAGTGCATTTCCTGTATTTCAACAAAATCATTTGTGCAAAATCATGGACTCACCTGTCATAGAAGTCATCTCTGTAGTAATCATAGTCAAAATCATAACCACTGCAGGGATTAAACACAAAAAGTAATTATTTTAAATATAGGTGATTGACAGGATTAAAAAAAAAAAAAAAAAAAAAAAAAAAA